CTCCCTCCTCCCCAGCCTACCCCGAGGTTTCACCTCAAGCTGGGGACAGGGGCACTTCCTAACAACTCTGTCCCCTCTCCTCCTACATTCACTATGCTGCTGTCCCTTGAAATAGCTTTGGGGAGAGGAGCTCCTGGGGCAAGTGGGGAGGACGGGTGATTTATCATTGCCCTTCCTTACTTCCAGCAGTGGTCTATGGCACGAAATGACTCTGTCTTGGCCAAACTCTCCCACTACTCATCTCATTTTACTTGCTCATGCCTTTTGACTCTGGATTTGCTGGGAAGACCGGTCCTTTCACGTGTGCAGCGTGGCTTGATCTGGGCAATGGGAAAACAGGAGCAAAGCATGCTGCTCTTTGCCCAGGAGAGCAAAGCAATACCCCAGTGAAATGAGGGGAAAGCTCCCCTTGGAGGTTTGGTGTGAGATCCTAGGCTGTCTTTGGAGGGCACCAGAAGTCTTTTCTGCTGATGGTCATGGGGCAAACATTGTTGTGCTGCATCCTTACAAGTGATGTCTAGAACACAGTACTGGTTACGTGGGGGAGTGGTGGGTGCAGTGCAAACCGCTGAGACGAACCAGGCAAGATACGGGTCTGAGGAGTTAAAACCAGGACTAACCTGACCTCACACTCACCTGGCTTCTTCCAGATGAAAGAATGCACCAAACTCCCGATATCCCTGCAAGGCAAAAAACCACTGCCTTCCTAGGGCGACTTAGTCCTGGGGATTCTTGCTGCTGCCTTTCCCCCCCTTTCCAGTCTGTCGCCGCTCTGTGCTACCAATATTTCACAGCAGATTATCATCTCCATTTGGCTAGCTCCAGGGAGTCGGGGGGAAGGGGGTGGATGTACTGGCAGATAATCCCCAAAGGAGGGAGGGTGCAGAGGAATGTGTTGTTGGTGGCATGTTGTTTACATGAATGCTGGGATGGGCAGCTGGGAAGTGGCTGATCTTGCACCTGGAAGTTTTTATGATGATGGTCCTTGGGACGCATCTGCCTCCCTCAGACCCTCCTGGCCCTCCTGAAACCCCTGCCCACCCCTGTCCATCCCCTTCCTCCACGCACTTGTTAGCTGTGGGCTGCCTGACCTCACTTCCCAGAGGCCAGGCTCACCTTGTTTCGGGAAAAGCTGCCCCAGTGTGTTGTGCCTGGCTGAGCACTATGGATGTGAGGCAATTAGACTGCGCGGAGTCGTTCCCCAGCTCATGAATGAACGGCAGCCACGCGCCGTGTCCCACTCCCCTGCGCTGCTGGTGCTATTGGTGCTGGGTCAAAAGCTGTGTGAGTTACGTTGTTTTCTTAATTTACTTCCATGTCCTATCCTGGAGCTATGAGTAATGCGCCGCTGTCTCATTATGCACAGGTATCACGGCTGTTTAGCCAATCCACACACACACACACACACACACACACGCATTTCCCACAGACATTCCTAACAAAGACATTTCTCAGGAGAGATACTAATATCTTCATTTTGCAGCCCGGTACCTTGCCAGTCGTGTGAATGAACTGCCTTTCAGCGGTGCACAATGAGAGATTACCAGCCAGATGATTGCCTTCATGAACTGCGCACATAAATCTCCTTAACAGGATCCGCACAGCTTGCCACACGTCGGTGTTGATTTACACCGGCTCCCGCCCTCCCAGAGCCCACTTAATGTCGCCGAAATCGGGCGCCGCGTCGGCCCTTTTCGCCTCCAGCCCCCCACGGGAGAGGCCGGATCCTTCCCGGCCGCGGGGTTTGCTCCCCGCCCCGATGCGGGGG